ATCGATGTGGCACGAGGGGGACAGGCAACGTCTCGACGGGGCCAACTTGTACTTCTGCGTGTGTCTTACAAAATGTTGCAATTAATTTAAGTTTTTCCTCTGGCGAGGCATCAAACACAGTCCCGAAATGACATCGCATCTGAGTGCATTATGTTTCGCTTAAATTCATTATAAATCAAAAGTTGATGACGTTGAATCAATCCATGGAATCGCATTAAGCAATCTCCCTACCAATCTCTACGCTCTTCTGGGGCTAAATGATAATGGCTAGCAAATCGCTCAGCGCCCATTTAGATGACATAACCGATAAACTGTAAATTGCCCGCAAAAATGGAAAGTTTCTGCCACCCACTTCGCATTAACATTAACCTATCTGTGGCATTGTCTGGGCCGTAGTCAATCAGTGGCAGCGGGTGGCCATGTGAGCCAGGACATAGGTGCCACCAGGGACCGGCGCACCGAGCAGAGAGGAAGCAGCCTTTCCACATGGCTGACTTATTCCCATTTTTTTTTTTGCACTTTCGAGGGCCATGAAGTTTTTTTTGTGCAAAGTTATAGACGTTAAATAACTCCCGTTGCGCGGCGCAAAACTTTTGTTTACGGCAATAAAAAAGTTTGCTTAAAATATACAAAATAAACTCGGAGCACCCGGGACAAGTCCAGCTAAGAGATAGAAAGAGAGAGAGAGCCTCAGAGAGAGTGTGAGAAAGAGAGCAGGAGCTGAGCTGTGGCTGCAACCTTTTGGGAGATGTTCCAAGACGCAAATGTAATATTTGCTAATTTTATGTGAATTTTGGGAAAGTTTTGTGATGCTCTTGTGGGAGTGGAGCATAATCCTCCAGAGTGTACGCAAATCTGGCGCATTTATGGTTATACAATTTCCTTGGAATGCACAAAATACTCGTACCTTGAGCAGCAGTTTCTTTTTCGATACACCAGACAAAGGCAAAACCCAAAGACAAGCACCTTACACGGGGCTAATGTATGGGATTATCCCTAAACAAAGCAAACGGCAAACGGCAAACCTCTGTAGGAGTAGCAGCACGAGGAGCAGGCAAATCAATTTTACATGCGAGCTGTGCGCGTAGGAATCCTTTGGCCTGGCACTTGGCTTATCCTTTCAAATGGAAGTGCTCCAGCAAAACAATAAACATTCGTCTGGAATCTAATATAGAAGGTGAAAATCTTTGGCCAAAGCTTCAAAAAGGTTTCCATCCAAATATTGAGGGTTTCGTGAGAGCAGCAGCTGGCAGCGGTGGCTCTCCCATAAATGCGGTTAAATGTAAAAGTTTTTTGCTTCTTTAAAATGTTTTTACCAACTTTCGAGGGTTGCGTGGCGCCCGAGCTGGCTGTTACATACATGGAGAGTGTTCTCTATGGAGAGTGCCAGTTAATTATGAAAGAATCTTTCGAGTCTGTGTGGGTCATGACCGCACTTAAGCAGGCTGCAACTGTAGCCCTCTGGCCACTGGACCAAGGCCATTCCGTGACGGGCACGCAACGGCATCAACGGGTTAATGCATGCCACACAGACTTACACTTGCACAATCCCCCATATGGACAGCCAAATTATCTATGGGCCCGTCCCATTACATTACTAAATGCTGCAACTGTACAAATGGTGCCCCCAAAAAGGCATTTTCGTGGTCCCACTGCTAATTATGGGCCGTAAATTAGCTGCCGCGACCTTCAATCAAAGAGCTCAGAGCTACACCCAAAAAACATGAACACTGCTGAGTAGTTTCTTGATAATAAGTCAAGGGTTTTTTTTTCGACTTTTGATTGATTAATTTGAATCGAAAAACGAAAAACGGGCCACGAATTCAATTTTTAATGCTACCATAATTTGGCGGCAATTAAATTGGGCAGACAAGAAAAAAAGAACACAACTGGGGTTAGAGGAAATATTTTAAAAGAATTTCGAGAGCTATAGTCAGGGTATTTATGCTGCTAGTTGTTCATCTGTTGGGTCTCCAAGTTGTTGGTGTTCAGCGCTGCTCCATCAAGTTGACGCCAACACGTGTGTCGTTGGTGCCCCTCTATTAATAGCTCTTTAATTGATGATTATGTGGGGGGAAAGCGTCGTTGACAAACTACTCGACTGATGGGCATACATGCAGTTGAAAACTTTCGGGCATTTCGTATTGAACGGCTGCCATTAATCAAGAGTTTCCAGCACTCGAAAAAGCTTTTCGGCTGTGGTTAAATATTTTGAACGCCAACATATGTTGCCTGCCATAAAGCCCCATGATTTGTCATTCATGCAGCCGCAGCCGCAGCCGCAGCAGCGCAGCTGCTGGATCGGGGGATCGTGGGTTCGGGGGAGCACCGAAAAACTACGAGTGCTGCGACTGAGAGTGTAGTATCTTGTGCTCGCACTCGCAACTGCATCCGATAGATACTCGCAAACCGCAAACAAGTTGCAGCACTGTTGAGCCAGCTGCATGTCATGCCTCAAGTTATGGAGAATGAAGGAGACAGGGGCCGACGGGCGGGTGCGGTGTGGCTGCGGGGCAACAACAACTCAATGTGCGTTCTGCGTTCTGCGGTTTTGGTTTTGCAGGGCATGGATTTCAGGCGCTTTCATCCAACGGATTGTGGCCCAAAAAGTTGCTCAAACTATGGCAAACATTTTTGTATCCAAAAAGTAGTTGGTTGGCTGTCAGGATTTAGCTGCTGGCCAGCTAAATACAGTAAACTCCCTGCGCAGACTGCAGCAGTCCGCTCTCCTACTGCAGATAAATAATTCCCGGCAGATTGTTCCCAGGCCATGGCAAAAGTTTTATGGGTATTTATTGATTTTGGAAATAGTTGAGAGCTGCTTTGATTGATGGTTTGGCAGAGTTTTGCCTGGGCATTCTGAACAGATTTTCAAAGTACTTTTCCATGGATATGCGGCAAAGTAATAATCAAAAGGGTTACTGCTGCCCATTCCCATTCCATTTCTAAAAGTATATCCAATAAATATAGAGCAGATCTAGCTACTCCCCTGTTGTAGTCAGCTTTGATCTTTGCTGATTTTCTCTCTCTCTATCTTTCTGTGCTGAGTGGCTGCTTTCGCTTGGCCTGGCCTAATGGCATTGTTGCAGCAGCTTGAGCTGCCCCCAGCGGCTGGCAATTACCAGCAACACATGAATTACGCTGCCACCTTTTGTACGTAGAGTGTATTGCCCCGAAAACTTTCGCCGAAACTGTAGGAAAAGTCAGCCAAACATTTGCTGAGGAAACACGACTTCAAATTAACACGTAAATTGCAGCAACTTAACACGCGTTGGAGTCGCAGTTGCAGTGGCAATTGCCAGTTGCAAGTCGTAGGCTGCAGCCTGCAGACTTCTAGTGGCAAGTCTTGGCCTGAGCCTGAGCCTGAGTCTCAGCCTCAGCCTCGTTAAAGGTTGACTGGCTTGACTAGCGGTGCCTTGTTACAATTAATTGCATATGGCCCAGGCCAGGCCATGCCACATTTTTGCATACCGGGGCAGCAACTGCAACATGTTGCAGTCAACAATAAATTAGCGCTTCAAATGCAATGGCCACGGTCTGCTCTGTTTTCAGGCTCAGACACTGGCCCAGTCCGAGGCCCAGACCCTGGAAGATGCCGCAGTCAGTTGGTGATCAATCAAGAGCTCGTGTAATGGGAACCCCCCTGTCGTTACACGATAGTTTAGCTGAATTGCGCAATTAATTAGTTTCGTGTTAATGAGCAATGCGCATCAAGTCGCTCCAGACAACGACACCAGGCTGGCTCTCCTCCTCTGCCGCTTCTCGATACTCTTCTGCTACGGCCAGGAATTTTTTAATGACCTTCCCTTCCGTTCCAAGCCGGAGCTTGGGCTACAAATTTATGACACGTTCAGAGCCGGCTGCACATTTGAAGACTCACTTAAAGTTTATGAAAGCCAAGGCTGCCCTGACTTTATTTTAATTGGACGCAAAGATCTCTGCGATCTAAAAAATGCTTGTGATTGAGTGCAGCAAAGCTCTTAAGTTTTTAGAAGTTACAACAAGAAAAGTAATACAAAAGAAATACCTACAAATGTGCTGATTGATTTTCCTTTGACTCTGCCTGTTTTCAACTCAGTTTTCAGGCCTCTAAACTATTGGGAGAAAGAGGGGAGAAGCATACAACATAACTGATTTTCCTTTCCGTTTATTGTTATACTGTGGTAGGCTTCTCCCTGATGTCAAAAGTTATGAGCAAACAATTTTCTGCTTAAAAGCGTCTGTCACAAAAAAAAAACCCTTTGGAGCGGCCCCTTGTCAAGCCAAACAAAAAATCCCATTCAGTGCCAATACTTTTTCACAATTTGTCTGCAATTATTGTAGCCACAAAAGTTGCTACGTGATTTGGTTTTAACGAGATTGTATCCCGAACTATCGACAATGCAAATATCGTATATTGTGTAATTTGCTCGACCAAATGTAGGGGCGTGGCTGGGGCTGGGGCTGGGGCTACACAATGCGGGGAATATCGTGTGTCAGAAATGTAGAATTGATTCTCGTCCTGCCCCTCCGCTACACATTGTGGGGGGTGGGGCAGTGCGTGTTGTATAATATTTCACATAGTTGAACGGCTCTCCATCCGCCCCTGCCGTCGTCGCATTTTGCCAAGTGGCAACAAAGCAAACAGTTTTCATTTTCAAAAGGACCCTCCAGCCAGCCCGCTGACCATTTTTGCTTTATAATTTGACAATCAATTGACAGTTCGTTTGGCCAAAGCGGAAACACACTCAGAACAAAAAAGAAACATGCGACAAAAACACCATTTGACAATACAAATACGAAATAAAATATCAAATAACTTTTGGGCAAACTATTCGAGAGCCAAACAGAAGCTGGAGAGCAACTCAGATTTCCCTGTGACATTAGTTAAGTGCTGCTCCCATCGAGGGGGGGGGGGGGACATAAAAGTTTCAAGAAAAATTCCATTTAGGGTTTGACATGCATTTGGGAAATGGAAGAGGAGCTCAGCTGTGGGACTCAATGCAAAAGGTATGCCAAGGTTTTTAGAAACCTTTTAACATATATTCGAACGAAGGTAAATCACGATACACGGGGCCAAGTCTCTTACAGTCCAATGATATCCAAAATATCCTCCTTTGTGAGCTTTTCCTCTTGGTTTGCAGGCTGAGCGGGCGCTGGCGTAGCTGCTGAGGCTGGAGCTGCCTTTGGCGGTGCTTTGGCAGCTGGAGTTGCTGGCACACTGATCCTCGTAGTGGCTTTTTTTTCAGTAGGCCTCGAAGCCTTTGCTGTGGGCGCTGCTGCTTTGGTCACTTGGCTGCCGCCTTGATGATGCTGTCCCTTGACGGTGACGTCCATGGAGATGCCAGCGACTTTGGGTTGCGCTCCCTGGGCCAGCACTGCAATGTGTGGCGTCTGCTCTGCCAGGGACTCGGAGTCGGACTTGCTGGGCGTGGGCTGCAGCCAGCAGCGATAGGTGGCCAGGGAGACGCCGCAGGGCGGCGGCTTGGACAACAGATCCTCTGTGGCAGACTGCTCCTCGGACTTCTCGGGTGGCTGCACTTGCACCTCCTCCGCCGCTTTCTTGATCTCCCTGAAGGGCGCCAAGTAGGTAAAGAGATGTGGGTAGGCCCTCCGCTTGATCTCGCAGGTGCAGCGGCACTGGAAGCGCGCTTCCTCCTCCTCTCCTTCCTCGGAGTTAGCCTTCGCCTCTTCCTCTGGCGCCACCGGTGCCTCGTCCACGCGGGGCCAGTCCCGAAACGGTGCCAGCCAGCAGTAGTCCGTGTCGTTGTCCTCAATCCCAGTGGCCGACAGTCGCTCCCCGCGGTGCTCCTCCTCCCCAGCACCCTCAGCGTAGGCGGGCGGACAGGTGCAGATGTCACAGGTGCAGGTGCACTCCGGATCGCAGGGCAGCTCGTCCTTGGCGCACGGCGGACAGATGACCTCCAGGGGCGGGAAGGGCACACGATGCTCCTTGAACTGTTCCTCCGTCTCGTCGTAGTGCAGCCAGCGGCACACGTACGGCCCCTGGCTGCACTCTGCGGTAATCTCTGGCGCCTCTCGCTCAAACTCCCGTTCACACAGCAACGGCGGACACTTGCACTTGTCCCTGCGCCGCTGCAGCGTCGCCTTGGAGCTCGCCTCGGTGGGCGGGCGGCTGGAGGACTTTTGCTGATTGACTCGCCTCAGGCCGTGGTTGTAGCGGGAGGACTTGGAGCTGACCGACTTGGAGCTGGGCATCGGTCCCATGTCCACCAGGATCTCGGTTACCTGCACGGACAGCTGACTGGGCGGCACGACCGTGCGGGAGGGCACAGTGCTGGGCGGCACGACCGTGCGGGAGGGCACAATGCTGGGCGGCACGACCGTGCGGGAGGGCACACTGCTGGGCGCCATATTCTGCTGCTGATAGAGCACCTCGATCTCGACCGTCATCGTGGAGACTGTGGCCTGCGAGGGTTTGGCGGAGGCCCAGCCGCAGCGGCAATGATTCTCGTCGTCCCACACCACACGAGTCCTCAGCACATCGTGCAGACTCTTGTAGACGCACTCGAAGCGCTCCGCAAACTGCAGCTCCTCGGAGCGCATGAGGCCGGCGTAGGCCGCGTAGATCTCGGCGGTGCGCTTGGCCGCGTGCAGCCAGAGGCACTCCTGCCGATGCCGCATGCCCTCCATCAAGGCCTTCAATCGCTTGCCTTCGGTCGCCGTGCCGTGGTAGTACGCCTTGAAGGCTCGCTTCACAATGGAGTAGGCAATCTGGGCATCCATGCGCGACATGTGCGCCTCGTGCGCCAGTCCATGGAGGAAGGTCTCCTTGCAGAAGCGCTTGCGCGGCACCCGATCAATCCTGTGGCGGACCTCGTCGTAGTGCAGCAAGGAGCGTCCAATCACCTCCCTGGTGCGTCGCACCTCCCACGCCTTGAGGCCACATATCCGCATCACCTGCATCACGCTGTCCGTGATGTCATCGATATCCCGTCGGAAGTATTCCGCGCGCTGTTCGCGCAGCTCCTTGCCACAGTGATGCACCGCAGGCATGTGGCACGGACACTTTTGGTTCATTTCGTAGTAAATTTTGGATTTATTTATGGGTGACAGAAATCTAATGGGGAATGTATGGGGAGAAACTATTTGTGTGCCCCTCTGGGCTTCCCTCCTTCACCTGTTTGGGTGGCTGTGCAGGGAGGCGGCGGACCAGATCCCTCATTAATCGTATTTATATTTGTTTATCCAACAATTTCTCCACCGCCCATGCCACATTCTAGAATGTTTTGCGGCCTCCACCCCCTCACTTACTACTGTTAATTCGAAATACTTTTATGATGCATTCCAAAACGCAGGAAACGCACAAAAACAAAGAGAGCGGAGGGAGCGGAGAGACAACAGCATAAAGATACATATTTGAATAGGCGACGGCGCACAGCAAAAACAACAAACAAATGCCACGGAGGCTGCTGCGCCACAAATGTGGGCAGGGGGCGAGCAAATACTCTACAAATGAGACCGAAACAGAGGCAGAGATAGGTACTTGGCTGTTCGCTTTATTACTCGTCGTACTCCTCGGTGTATGCCGATTGCTGGATGCCCTAAAAAACTCGAATTGCAGTCTGAACAAATATTGTCATGCGGTCATGCCAAATATTTACATAGCAACCACTCTGGGGGGAAGGTGGAACATAGACAATTCCGGCATCAAAAAACCAAGGCAGGGACTGGGACTGGGACTGGGACTGGGACTGGGAGGGAGAGCCATGCCGGATAAATGCGGGCACATTGACAGTGCGGGCGATTGATTTTTCCTGTGCTGCCTGCCAGCTCTCAAGGGGCACCCCAATCTAAAATTAATGCACGGCGTTGCAGTTGTCAGTCAGAGCAACAAGACATCCAGAATGAGTTTAATTGTTGACCCTAGCTATTAGCCCCCCTGTCAAAGGAGCTCTGACTCACAGCCGATGCGTGTGTCTCTTCAAATACTCCGTAATTTATATGCAAAAAACACAACGCACATTTCTGCAAAAACATTTCTTAGAATCCACTTTATACGAAAACGCTTCGGAATGCATCCAAAGTCGATGACTGACAAGCAAAGTGAGAGAGAGAGAGACAGGGGCAGTGGCAGTGGCAGTGTCTTGTCGGCTGCTTTGTGCTCCACGATTTATACTCGCATTTGTTTATGTTGCAGTCGCATTATTGTTTCGCGATTTCTCGTTTATTGGAGGGGTGTCTGTCTGGTGTCTGGTGTCTGGTTCCATCCAGGCAGGCAGCTCATTATTATGGCCTCTGTGCTGCGGGAGTGGCACAGACAGTAATCGAATGTTAAATGGCTTAAAGTTCATGTCAATTGGTTTCTATGATTGAAAACTCTTTTGACATTATGGAGTTCTATTTTAGATGCATTTATGGAAAGAGATTTGAAGGGGATTCTCCACTTTAGTCTCGAACTGTCTGGGGAGTGATCTTACAGGTATCTTTGGACTGTTTTGAGGCTGCAGCTGCAGATAACTTCAATTGCAACTTTGTCAGTGGATTGACAGATTGCTTAAGAGAGTGACTGTACATGCCAATCAATGAGACCACAATGTAACCCTTCGATTAAGGCTTCGGTAGCATTATTTATTCCCTAATAAGTTCGCTTTATTTTCAAGCAGAGTAGTGCCTGGCTGGGTGTGCTTAGTGTACAATCAATGCCAGAATGCAGTGCCCTGCCCCCACACTCAACGCCTTTCAATTCCCATAGCGACTTCCATTTATCACGCTTGATCTTGATTAAAAGTTCCCCCGACACAAGTCAGGATAGAGGGAAGTCAGACAAGCCAATTATAGACAGCCAAAGCCGCGTAAAGATGCCAGCAAGCAGATGTGTGTAGAGCCGAAAGCTGAATGAAAATTATAATGTGAGCGGCAGGCAACTTCCATAAAGACATCAACAGTTCAGTTCGTGTGGCATCAAAGAAAGGGCCCGGCAAAATGCAGCCAAAAGGGGGAAAGTCTTGCCGCGACTTATGAGATTTCCAAAAATAATATTAAAATTAGCAACGAAGCGCAGCAAATGAGATTTTTGGATCCATGCCTTTGGATGCAACGGCTGCACGACTAGTGCCTATAGGCAGGAGGAGGACAGGCAGGCAGGAGGAGCAGTCAGATCAATCAGTGCATCAGACAAGAGCTTAGTGCCAGTAATTAGGAATGATAAATGTTCGATTTACAGTCGAAACTGAAGTGCAATATGGATGGGTTATAAATAAACAGAACGGGCAAGGGAAAAGGGGGAAAACACGGCCAAAGAAGTGCTAAAAAATATGAAGTGAATGTGGAGCAGTGTGGGGATTAGCTCGGGAAATGGGGGGACTTACCAAAACTGGGAGCAAATTCTACATCTACATAGATATGTAGACATAGATAAGTACCTGTAACCGTAGCTGCATGCCACGCCGCATTCAATGCACAGTTGGAGCCACGCACACACAGCTGGACCTTGTGCAGCGACTTGCCCCGTTTCTAGGTTGTAATATTAGCGCCACATTTGACCGCTCAGTTGGCCTTATCACGGCACAGTGTCCGCTTCAGTTCAGGGCTGACTCAATTGACCAACGGCCACAATGTTGCGCAACCGCAAAACGCTGGCCACCGAGCTGGTAGGGAGCTGGTGCCCAGGAGCCTGCCATCCCGTGCAGGGATTTTACAACAATTTGCGGTTTGGGGCGGCATTTGCATTTTGCATTCTACATTCGGCATTCGACTTGGCCTCGCGGATATGTGTGTCTATAACAAAACAATTAGAAACTACGAGGCTACGGGTCTAAGCCCTCGACGATTTGACGCTGATTTATGAGTGGGAGGAGTCGGAGCTGGGGATACACGAATATTCAAAGACAGGCACGTAGCGGCTGGTAGGCTGGCAGGCAGGCAGGCAGGCAGCCAGTGGGGCAGTCGGGGGATTAGCCCAGCGACCAAAAGGCAAATAAAAGAAAACTGGGCACACACATACACCTCATAAAAGACAATTCAGAGGGGGAAGACTGGGGCTGGAAGGTGGGTGGTGCTCGGTGCTCGGTGCTCTCTTTCTGCAGGCCACCCGTGGGCATAGTAAAATGCTAGTGAAACAATTATGCAATTACTTAATTTGATAGCCCAAGTGCCTCTGTGTGTGTCCTGTCGCTGCTGACGTACCGCATTACGTATCCGTAGCGTGGGCCATAACTGGCCTTTTGCCTGTAATTGTTTTTGCTGCCATTCGCACGCGCAACGGCCCGCAGTCAGGGTCGCCTTGGTCCTGGCTTTAAGTGTGACTTTTCTACCTCTTGCCATCTACAGACGGGAGACTGAAACGAAACAAATTCACGCGCTAAGCAGGACTCTATCCCTTGTTATTATTGTTATTTTTTTTTTGCATGCCACACAAATCGTTCGCTGGCTCTAATGGAGCTTACTCGCGCACATACACACAGTATCTGGCATGCGAAATAAGTTTTTATTATCATCGCCCCGGAATATGTCATGTGGCACTCTGGCACTGTGACTGCCTTGAGCTGGCCCACATTCCGCCGCCGCTCGTCAGAATTTTCAACAACAATCAACACCTCCCTACGGCGTCAGGGAGGTGAATGGGAAGAGTGCTAAAAATTGCTAGAAATCATGGCTAATATAAATCATCTTGGCAAGCAGCTTTGCATGTTCAAGTGTCATACATAAGGCGGTGCGCAATATGAGAGGAGAGACTACTCAGCGGAGGAGGAGCAGAGGAGCAGAGGAGCAGCTCAGTTCACACCCATACATAATAAACACTTGGGGGATCCGGCTTTGGCGCACGGCTTTGCCTTAACCCTTTTTGACTTTGGCAAATGTGTGGAGCCCCACACCCCGCCCTGAGGCACAGCCCAGCCCAAAACACCCACCTGGGCGCACCTTGGCCTCCCCATTTCCCACTTTATCCGGGTGTGTGGGGTTGTGTTTGCTTTGCTACTCAAGTTGTATTCTGTGTTTATTTTCCTTTGGATTTACTAAAGCAATTTTCTTTGTTGTTTCTGTGTGTCCCAGCGTGTGTGTGTGGGTTCTGTGCAAACACACACACACACACACACACACACAACCTGACATTTGCCATATATTTTTTGTGCAAATACGTAACAAAAGCGTTACAGCTGCTGGCATATGGTTTTCCTTCGTCCCTCCAGTCAGTCGTACCGTACAGGTGGGCTACGCCCCTGTGATTTATGCAATGTCAAGACATTTTTAATTAAGCTTTCGACAATTGGGAATCTCGGACTGCAGCTGCAACAGCTCTATCCCAGCATCGATTGACAACAATTGAGTCGCTGCCAACAACAATTGTGCTGGCCGAATGACCAAATGTAATTGGCAGTGTCTTAGCAGCATCAGGCACCAGAGAGTCTACGCTGCTGTGCTTTGGGATTTTGTATGCACATCATGTCGGAGCGTCATATAAGAATTAAGTCATAATGCGGAGCCGTTTCGTATGCAAAAACTTGACAAAAAACGCAACATGGCAAACATAAATAACTCGAGCAATGAGCAGCAGCAGCAGCAGCAGCAGACGCACGTTTTTACGATGTGATGGATCAAACTTTAAACATAGAGCATAAAAGGAGACTGTCAGAGCGAGGCATTGGATACCCTTTTGTTCTACGCCTTTGGGTCTCAAACCTCTCCCTAACACCTCTAGATCTTCGGCAAGTGTACCCACAACAAGTCAAGGAAAAACGTAACAGCTCAGTCAAGTTTGTCGGTGACGTACGACTTACGACACGTTGCCAGACCAAAGGAAAAACTCGCAAATACACAAGTGGTTGCTGGGTAGGGGGGCTAACGAGCTGCTCCTACTCCCTGCTAAATATTTTATTGCAGCAGGGGATTGTAAAAGGGACCAAACGAGATTGGAATGCCACACATACTCGTGCGAGAGACGAGCGACGAGCGACGAGCGAAGGCACGAAAGACATTTAAATGACATTTACTCACTCAAACAAAATGCAGCAGCCAGAAAGAGAGAAGAGACACAGAGAGAGCGGGAGAGCGGGAGAGAGCAGAGCGAACAGCTTAACTAAATTGCATAAAATCTATTTAAATGAGGGAAAGA